TACATAAAAAAATGCTATTATTCTTGGTATGTCTTTGTTTCTATTGTTAGATGAAACTATACAAGATGTAAAGCAAATAAGCAATACATAGCCAATGCTATTTCTCCTTCACGGCAGAAGTGTCTTATTGAATACTGATTACTGGTGCTATTTGGCACGGTTGACATTTTGGGAAAAGTGTTATGAATGACTTCTTAACCAATGTGGAGAGGATAGATATGAGTTGGAGAGAAAAAGTTGTTCTATGAGAAAATAATGTTTCACGAGAGACATTTTACTTTTGTGTGTTGCACCAAAACAATTTCTCTACTTTTCAGCATTTTCCAATGCTTGCTAATAGGGAAACAGAAATGAAGAAAAGGTTTCCTAAATACAAGCAACATTGTCCTGTCAGAACAGGGTACCAGCATTCTGATGTCTTGGGAAAAGAACAAAAAATAAAAGAAATTCCACTTCTATGCCTTAGAGCTCAAGTGCAAGTTTGTAGTTAAGAATGGTGGAGACCCAGAATTTTGATGTTTCTAGGACTTAAGAATGTTAGATATTGTTACTGAGAGCTGTTTCTATTTTGGTTGAATAGTCACTGCCATTTATGTGTGCTTGTCAGCTGCCATGTTTTGTTGAAGTGTATTTCATTTCTTTTAAAAGTTTTAGGGTTAAGTATGTTTTTAGTCTATGAAAATATTATTTTTGTTTTAGTCCTCATTAAAAATTTATTCACTTTTAGTCCCTAATGTGATTAAAATAGTGTGGTTTTAGTTCCTCAACAAACCATTTTCAAGGACTAAAAAAAGGGTCTTGTGAAGTATAGGGACTAAAAGTGAATTTTTTTTAATAAGAACTAAAACAAAAAATAGTGATATTTTCAGGGACTAAACATATTTTTGCCAAAATTTTATGTTTTCTTGTATGGTATTTTTTAATAATAGTGATCTTCCATAACAGTGAAGTACACACCTCAATACACTTGGCTTCAAGAAGAGCTGAAGCGAGTTGATAGGGAGAAGACACCTTGGCTCATTGTGCTCATGCACGTGCCGCTCTACAACAGTAATGGAGCTCACTATATGGAGGGTGAAAGCATGCGATCAGTTTTTGAGAGCTGGTTCATTAAATACAAAGTTGATGTGATCTTTGCTGGCCATGTCCATGCTTATGAAAGATCAGTATGTTTTTCACTTTCTTCTCAGTTATTATGCTCCTGGCACAAGACCAGTACACCACCAACTTTGGCAATATGGTTCTTCTGTTTTGTCATCTCATGTCCCAGTGGATTCTAATGTGTTGAATTTTTCTGTCCTGCTTTCAGTATCGATTCTCCAATGTAGACTACAACATAACAAGCGGCAACAGGTACCCCACACCCGACAAATCAGCACCTGTTTACATAACAGTCGGAGATGGTGGAAATCAAGAAGGTCTTGCTGCAAGGTAAATTAAACAAATCATTTTGTCATGGATAGGCAGTTAAAAAGGATTATCTAATATCGTATTTTTTACTATTGTTATCTTGGATTTCTATTTAATTATTTATAAATATGATTCAATCCTCGTAAGGGGTTAATATCCATAGTTATCGTTTGTCAAAATGTCTTGTCATATAAGTTTTAATCCTATCCTTGGTTGTGCAGGTTTTTGGAACCTCAGCCAGAATATTCTGCATTTCGAGAAGCTAGCTATGGACACTCCACGCTGGAGATAAAAAATAGGACCCATGCTATTTACCACTGGAATCGCAATGATGATGGCAAGAAAGTACCAACTGACTCTTTCGTATTGCTTAACCAGTATTGGTAGGTTCCCTCCACCTTTTCCTTTGTCATAGCTATCAAGTGACAGGGAAAAATGTCTTTATCTTGCTGTTCTGATGATTTAATTATAAGATTGAAAGTTGTCCTTGCATTTGCACAAATGGCAAGGCACAAAATATAGACTTTCTCTTCCACATGCATTTTACTGAAGATAATAATGGTAGAAGTTTAAAATCATTACGGACTACATTCCTATATAATAGTGAGGGTTGGTTTGTGCGGCATTTTCTTCTTCGTACTTGTTGGGATGAATACAAAGAAACTTCCACAAGTGAACGTTTGCTTATCTGGTGCACGACACACACCCAAAAAAAAAAAAGAAAAGTGCTCAAAACTTGAAGCTTGTTTAGCACATGCCAAATAACTCTGCTAATAGATTACTACAGTAACCTGCACGCAAAATATTTTGGTTGACAAGAATAACAAGATGTGTACTACATACTACTTAGCATGTAATATATACCTTGTGCAAAATATGCATTAATATCTACTAGTCATACTGATTTCTTTGGTATGGGTTATTTTTGGAGAAATATTTTTTTTTTAAAAGGTTCAGTCAAGACTCAAGAAACCAACAAAAAAGATTGCTCTCTAAAATAAACTAAATTAAGCATATTGATTTTTAATCCTTTTCTAGTCCCTTTTGAAAGAGGGATCAAGGCATTGAACCTGGTTAAGAGTAGCTCGTAACCACTTTTATTAAGAGATACATAAATCAATGATGCAATTTTTTGTTATTATGTTTTTTGATACACACACATTCAAAGAATAATTGTAACACGGTTGAGTTCTGGTAATTCATGCAGGGGAAGCAATCGGAGAAGAAGAAAGCTGAAGCATTTTCTATTGAGAGTTGTTGACGAAGTTGCCAACATGTAATTGGAACTTGAAGCACTCGCATATATATAAATGCCCCCCCTATGAATGTATGTAGTTCAATAGTCTCCGAGTGAGGGAAATGAAAGACGTTGGAAATGGTTCTATGCGTATGCTTGTATTGTACTATAACGCTACTAAGTATTAAATGAAGAAAAAAAATTAAGAACAAGATCATGGTTGCAGCGCAAATGATGAGATATGGTAGCAGTTACTATGTTTTACATTCCTTGTATAATTTTACATGATTTTTGGTTAGAGGTAGGAGGAGGGATTTTTAAATTTATTTATTTTTGTATGATTCAATTTTTGGGAGGGAAAGGGAGGAGAGGAAAGGGGAGTAAAATTCCTCTTAATTCCATTTTAAAATATTGAGGAGATGTGGAGAGAATGGAAGGGATTTTAAAATTATTTTAATAATTTTAATATAATATTTAAAATATCTTTATTTATGTTATTAAATTTAAAATTATAAAATTTAAAAGTAAATTAGTATTTAAAATCTCTCTTTTTCCCACATGAACTAATTTCCTTCTTTAAGCTAAACAAACCCTTAATTCTATTTCTCACTTGAACTCTAATTCTCAATGTTTCTTCGATTTCAAAAACAACTTCAATTCTCAATGTCTCTTAAATTATTAGTTTGATCATTTACTCTATTCTTATCTTAGGATTAATTATTCACCCTTTTTACTAAATTTAATTTTTGTATTTCGTTAGATTAGTTCCAGAATCAATTCATTTATGCAATTAAAATATAATGTACGTTGCATATCTTGTGATTCTTGTCGAATAAAATATTCTTGAACAATTATTTTTCTCAAAATAATGTTCAATGACACTCGAGTATAATGTACATTACATAACTCTTGACCATGTTAGAGCACAATTTTATTTTGTGCAAATATAACACCACATCATACAAAAGTGGCATCATATATATAAATCATTCAGATGCTTTAATTATTATCAATTTATTCATATTCAAGTTTAATTATTTTGGTCTTTTACTTTTTATTTTTAAATATACAAAAATACAAAGTGTCTCTTGTATAACAGTGTGTATAAAGATATATACTTTTTATAATCATATATATATATATATGCATGCGTGTGTGTAGGAAGGATTCATTTACTCCAAGAGTAAGTCTATGTAGACTTATTTTGTTTAATAACTCATGTTATACATCAAATTTTAATAATCCAATTGTTAAATTTAAATTCTTAATACATAGATCAAATATGCAAATTTATATGAGGAGAGTTCAAACGACACCGGTGTAACTTTTACTAAATATTACACTGCTCAATAATTTTATATTAAATGTGAATTTTATAAATTCAACTAATAGATTGAAAACTCTTTACTCTTAAATTATATATACAAAATTTTATATTAATCCAAAATAATTTGATACTTTATTCTTATAAAATAAAATTAACGTAATATATATATTTCAAAATATAATAAAATGTGAACATTTTGATTACCTTCATGTTGTTCAATTTTAATAAAATTTAATATAAATATATAAAGTGATAAGATTTACAAAATTTTAATACAAAGTTATTTAGGTGAAATACTTAATAAAAATTATACCGATGTCGTTTAAACTCTCTCTCTCTCTTTCTTTATATATATATATATATATATATATGAGTTAATCATCCATACACTGTCAATGTAAAAAATTTTTACCCTAGCAACTAATCATATCTTTTAATAATGTCATGTCAGTTGCTTATTTAATGAAATAATAATAAAATAAGCAATTTTAAAAGATATAATTAGTTGCCAGTATAAAAAATTTTACACTAAAATGTATAAATGATTAACTCTCTCTCTCTCTCTATATATATATATATATATATATTCTGTTTATACTTCAATAAAAGCTTATTAAATACCTTCAATCTGGGAGTAAGTTTCAGCCGGCGTCCAATGTGCTTTGTGCTAAGACTTTTTTTTTTGTTTTACTTTTTCTTTTCAAGTACCAAAAAATAAACACAAAATACTTCTCTCCTTATTTAAAAGTTGAGTAAATTGCTCTAACTTCCTTCTGTTATGGATTCTTTGACAACTTCCTTTATTTTTAAAACCTACACAAAATATTATAAATATTATAATATTATAAATATGTTGCACTTGAACTCAGAATTAATATTTCTGTATAAAATTATAAAAATATTCTTACTATAAATTTTGCTCGTCGTTTGTTAAATCGTTACACAAAACCCTTTCTACTATATAAATGCATTAAAACTAAATCTTAGTATAAAAAAAGAATACATTCCGACTAAATCCCTTTGTTGTAGTAAAGATTTGAAATTATTAAATTATCAAATGCAAAGTAGATTATTACAGTATTTCATGTGTAAAATTCCGGAGCACGGCGACTAATAAATGAACCAAAAATAGAGCTAAAAGACAACTATTCAAGCACGTGAATTTTACATCCCAGAATAATGAAGGGGAAAATGATGGAAAAGGATAATCTGATATCTGGTATATGTACATTTGTCAACTATAAGTGCTGTTAAGATACACGATGAGTGTGTGGGGAAGTATGGTCCAGGGCCACAACTACAACCTCTATAAATTTGTAGTGTGGATGGGAAAACTTATGAATCACGGAAAATTGGTTGCGGCACCCACTTGAGATGCAAATTCAAATAGCCAGACTTGGCACCATCTAGCTCAAAGCGTTCTTTGTATTCCCCCTCCAGTATTACCTTTGTAAGCGTCAATATGCATCTCCCCATATAATCCTGCATGCATGACGGAAAGAGCTATCACCAGGTACCAAAAATCCATAACTCCGTTTCATCGCATTAACCTTTTATTAACTCCTTTTAGTGAGGAGATTTGTAAAGTGAGAAAATGTAACCCTTCATACAGTTGATTGAAGTAAATACATTAACCCTAAGTCTAATTTTTTATTTTATGGATTTCTTAGTCAATTGTTAAACGTTACTTTATGATGAATTAACAAAAATACCCTTAATACAAGTTTTGACTCAGTACACAATATCCTTCCATTTTTTAAACCTTACACAAACCATCTCATATTCAATAAGGACTTGTTTGATGAAAAAATAATAATAATAATAAATAAGAGTAAGAAAGAATAAGTATAATAAGCTCGTATACATTTTAAAGGGACAATAGGAAAATGTTTATAGGTTTTAATGGTCCTGAATGTTTAATTATAGAGGATATTTATAAGTTTTAAAGGGCCAATTAAAAGTTTCTATCCTCCCGATGTTATTTTGATTAAATACATAATTGGCACTCCACATAATTTGTATTAAACTTCAATGGCAAATTGACTTGAAGTCATCAAGACCTTAAAAAGATGGCAATCTTACTAATTCAGCATAAAGCAAAAAGAATTACCTTTCCAAATGTGTCGTGGTCCCAAACCTCAACAATTAGCATGTCATGTAATCCATCCTCCACAACGAAGTCAAATGTCTGATTCCAAACTGGATTCAAGCTGTCATTCACAACCTGAGAAATTGACAAACTTTTAGGGCCAAAAAAGTTCGTAAAAGGTTGATAATTAAATAAGCCACAAAATAGGGAATACCCTGGTTTTGTTTTTTGTTTCTGCTTTCTTCAAGGTAAGAACAACAAAAGGATCAGATTTCCCCATGAAATCTGTCGCAGGCAAGTCTTCGGCAGAAATTACAGTAACAGAAAGGACTCCTCTAATAATAACCTCTTTTTTCTTTTGGGTAACTGCATTTTCATTTCCATTAGAGTCTATTCCATTCGTTGCATTTTTAAGAACCTTTTCTAAAGATGTCATTGAGTAGTTGGGAGCAAATGGGTTTGTAAAGCTATTCTCCATGCCAAATGGACAGTACAAGAGCTCCAAATGTACCTAAGCAGAAAGACCAATAATTATAGCGGGTCTGATTATTACGGGAAAATTACCCTTGATCAAAAGTCTCCCAGAAAATTTTTGATTACGAGTTATTTTGAACTCAAATTAAGCCAATACAAATACACTTAACTAAGAAGCAAATATATTTATTATGTCATACATACAATTGAAAATATGTTCACAGTTGTTTATAAAAAAAGGAAATGATTATAAATTCATATTGACTGATACTACTTTTGAACAATGAAACATTGAAGCACCAACACTTCAAGAGAGATGTTGGGTTTGTCAAACATTAGGTGCAAATTAATACAACAGGCTGACAACTTAGAAGTTTGAACAGTACTTTCCGGAATTAAATTTTAATATTATAGTATGAAAAGAAAAAAATTAACCACTTCTTTGGTCAATATATGGCAAGACAAGACTGACCTAACCAAAAGTTTATGGCTCTTACCCTCTTGATGGCAAATCTAGATTGACTGACACTTGGAACCACACTTTCTTTTCAACATATTGTAGATATATTTTCGTACATGTATGCATGTTTTCATTTTAGGCTCTTAAATATATAGTTACATAATAATAATAATAATAATAATAATAATAATAATAATAATAATAATAATAATGATAATGATAATGACGATGATGATGATGATGTTGGCATATGATCTATGTATAATTGAGCCTTATACATTGGACTATGTTGTGTCCATGTTATAAACTTCCTCCATCACCCATGTGATGTCTATGCCCCATAGCTCCTTGATTTAATTGTAAACATCCTCTATAATTAAAACTTTTAGTTAGCTACTAAAAGATGTCAAACTCATGCACCAATTTTACCTACTAGTTTTCTACAGAGTACAGAAAAAGGTTTCCCGACTCATGGCTCATGAACTGGTTTTGACTTCCAGTTTTTCACATAATGGACAATTGGACATGGTCAACATACATGCATACAACTCAAAAAGTGTGCATGAAAGAGGAAGATATCTTCACGGAATAAATTTCTAATGCATGCTCCCATTTGCACATGAAGCAACCAAGTTAGTTTTCATATCACCTTTGTACACACAATCTATACATCGATCTGTATTTGGAGCAACAAAGCCAATGCTTATAACAAGTGATAATTCATGGAGTTGAAGCATAGGTCAATGATGACTCCAGTATACTTTGTCCATAAAGAACGGAAGACAGAAAAGAAAGAAGCTGACTAAAGGCCCATAGGATGCGAACTAATCTTGCTTTTTCTAACACTTGGCCACCTTGTACATGTATAATGTATTAAAAGAGTGAATCAATATTTGCTAACAATTAGCAGATACTAATGTTTAAAAATCAATTTGAAACCGCAATTTCAAAAGGCAGAGGAAATAGGAGATATATGACAAGTGTATTAAGTTCAGCTTTATCCAGCTCTAGGTATGCTGCTAAAGGGATAGCATTCTGTTTACCTATTTTCAGAGAATAGAGTAGCTAAGCATTATAGCGTTTGTGGGGGTTCAAAAGGTAAAATTCAGAGTCAGTATTTCTCACCTAAACCAACAATCTTCTAGCCATCAATAGTTTTAAGTTTTAAAATAGTAAGTCATACATGTATTTCTTACCTGCCCTCTGTTCTTGTTATCCTTTTGGATCTCCAAATCCTTGACCAACTTCAACCAAACATCCTTTACTTTACCAGGTTGAAGTTTACTAAGCCCCAGCTGAGCACATCCAATCAATTCAGATGACTGTAAACCCTCAGAATCATAAACTTTGACAATTAAGTGCTGAGTGGACACATCCTCAACAATAAATTCAAAGTGTTCATTCCAAATTGGATTCAAATCATTGTTCTGGATGGAGAAAACAAAATTAGTTATTTCTTCCATAATTGAAATCCAATAAATTCTCTAGAAAGAAAGACAGACAGGAAAAAGAAACTAACTTACAATTGTCTTGCTTTTCTTCATTCTGTCACGTAAAGGCCGTATGTATACTACAGCATATGGATCTGATTTTCCAATGATATCCTTGTTTGTTAATTCCTTGGCTTGCACAAGCTTTACTTCTAATATCCCCACAGGCTTCAACTCCAAATCACTGAACAAGAAAATACAGTGAGGTTCAAAATAGTAAAAGTAGTGCATGATCAACAAGTCAATATAAAATTTAGAAGATGTCGCATAAGTTGTTATTGTATCTTAAGAATAGAATATCTTAGATGGTCTTAGTAGTTTTTTTTATTTCATTAAATTTTATGATTAGCCTCAATTTAATTAGGATTAGGAGTCTAGTATTAATATAGATAGGGGTCATGCTGTGTATTGTGAATCGCATCCTTCGTAACAATATTATCCGAGTGTTTAATTTTTTTCCTTCCTCTATACTTAAACCCTTTAATTTCAACATAAGAACAGGAAAAATAAAAAATATACTATGATTGATACAGCCACATTGACTAGCACTGCCATAAAGCAACGTGGAGGTACATATTTATTTATTTCCAAAGGCAACCTTTGTCTAGTATCCATGCATGTTCCTCAGTATTATGCATCACTATTTCATAGATGATATTTTTTAGAACCATAACTTGTGACATGAAACTAGTTGCAGTATCAAGCTTATAGCTCACTGGCAGTCATTACTTAAATAATTTAGATTACAACTTCTAACAATTCCAATTCCTCTCAAATCTAAAAAAGTAAATAGTTAAGGGTTTTAATTAGAGAAAGCGAGAAGCTTGCTTTATTGTGTTGGACCTCTTCTAAAGTTCTAGTTAAACACATTTTGTCATGTGAAATTGTAGTTAGTTTTGTTACACTGACAGCTATTAGATTTTCTTAGAACTTAGAACAGCCTGAGACAGCTGTAACTAACTCAGTTGTGTAGGATGTTCTGTTATTAGAGACTCTACAAGTGCTCTCATCATTCAGAGACACTAACCTTATGCTTGTTTGAGTGTAAATAGAAACGTATGAGGTGAGTGAGATAGGATAGAAATATCAAACTTTACTATTTGTTTGAGAGAAGAAAAAAGAAGAATAATTTAGTGGGCCCCACATAAAAAAAATAACTAAAGTTGGGGAAATGTTTGTTAAATTTTGATTTTTTTTGTTACTGTTTTAAAAAATTAAATAATTAGTTAAAAAATTTGAGTTAAATTTATTCTTTTAATGGAATGCACTATTACTGTAATTTGTACAATGTCAACCAATTATAAGTCGTCTTTGCTGTGATATTTAAAATCAATATTATCAAAGTCAACAAACTTCCCACACATGGTAGTTTTTTATTAGATGACATTATAAAAAAAATATTTCTAGGAATGCATATCCTATTTTTTTTTCTTTTTAATTAGTATAAAAAGATTTTTTATATAATTTATTTCTATCCACTCATCCAAACAAGCAGCGAAAAATGCATATCCATTCAAACGACATATCTTTTTTATCCTATTTCTCTTTTACTTCTATCCTTCCTAATTTTGTCCTTATTATTTCTTTCATCTTTATTTCACATCTATTCCAAACAGAACATTACTGTATGTTGGATAATAATTTTTTTGCAAAATAATCACTTATTTTTTTTAAAGTGCTCATAGAAGCTGGAGAAAAAATGTGATAATTATTCAAAAATAAGCTAAACCAATCACACAATAATTTTAACTTTCGGATCAGAAAATTTCTGTCTTCTGGTGCAAGATTCAACTCTCTCACACACACATTGTCATCTCATTTTGTTTAAGTTTCTCAATTTCTAATAAAATATATTGTACTCAACTGCAGTAGAACTTGAAGGCTGGAAATAACCAAAAGGGACAATGATAAAATTGAAGTGTACTCGTGTGATCCTTCTATATTTATCTGATTTACCTGTAATCTCCAGGCAAAATGGGTACAACTTTTCTCACAGGCCATGTGATAGAATCTTCAACAGCATCCCGAATTGTCCCCTGTAATAATTTACTAGACCTAATTATTATAAAACATTTGAATTCCAGACACTAATTAATTCATCTAATTAGAGAGAAAAGGACAAAAAAAAAATAGACACAATATGTTAGGATTCAATTGCAAGGTGTGGGACTTGAGTCCCACATTGAAAGTATGAGATTCTAGTATGGGGTTTAAAAGACATTGGGCTCTTCAACTACAATAACTAGCTTTTGCGATGTGGTTCTCCCAAGGTTCTTATTAATTAATTGGTATCAAAGCTATCCACCATGCTTCTCAACTTCAAACGAGCGGCAAGAGTGGTGACATCAGCATTGTTAGTGTCCACGCCAATGACTAATCAAATGGCTAGTGGACAACCCACTTGCACGGAGCACTGGGGCTGCAAAGGGTGGTGGGATGTTAAGATCCAATTGTAAGGTATGGGATTTGAGTCTATCATTGGAAGTATAGGATTATAATACAGGGTTTATAATTATAAGACCATGAGTTGCCCTGCTACAACGACTAGCCTTTTGTGGTGTGGTTCTCTCAAGGTTCATATAATAAAGGATAACAAGCTTGGCAAACTATTCTGTTCATGAAAGATTAAATTAGGTATAATAAAATTACAATTTTTTTAAGGTTAAGATCCTCCTATAATATCAAATCCGCAATTTTGGTCTTCCTAATTTTTAAAACTGCAATGTTAGTCCTCCAATTTTGTAAAACCCACAATTTTAGTTCAACCATTAAATGTTGATTTGTCAGCCGTTAAAATTGTAGTATTAATTATGATCTAACATTAAATAAATAATGTAACAATTAATATTTAATAATATTTAAACTAAATTGCATTTTTAATTCTCATTTTTATCCCAAAAAAGTGATAAAAATAGATAAAAGTGAATTAAAAATGAGGATCAAAAGAATAATTTAACCTAAATATTATTAAACATTAATTGTCATATCATTTATTTAATGTTAGATTATGATTAATATTACAATTTTAACAGTTGACAGATGAACACTTATAAGTTATACCAAAATTACAAATTTTATAAAATTAAGGGCATAAGATTGCAGATATAAAATTAAGTAGCCAAAAAATTGTAGATTAAATATCATAGAAGCACCAAAAGTTCAATTTAGTCTTTCATAAATAAAACACAGTGCAGTACCAAATATAGATACACTAGTAAACACCAAAAGTAACTGGTACATGCAAACACAAAGAAATGACACAATAATGACTTTTATAAGTTTTATTATATTTTCTATATATCAAACCAATTACATGAAGCGTTCCTTAGATTGAAAATTTATTGGTTATATAGACACTTAAAAGGTGCATTTCAAAAGATTTCACAAGGGTATAATTAAAATGACAAAAATATGAGTACAGACGTAAAAATGAATTCACGAGTCGCAAATATATGCACGAGTTCAGTGCACTAGATTTTCTTACTTAATACTAGAAATTGAATACATAATGTGAGCTAAAAAATGAAGAGATAAAAAAAATGGACAGATAGGATAAGTAATGGAGAGGAAGAGGGATGCAATCATAAAATCTATTTGTTTTTAATTTCAAATTCACATTCATAATTCTACATCTTTCATAATTTCATTCAACAATGACTTAATACATAAGGAACTTTTGGAATTCTTTTTTTTTTTTTTCAAAAGGTGAGGATGAAAACCTGCCTTTTATTTTCTTCACAAACAGTTGCTAGTAAAAATATTTGGTGAATAAAGCTAAACCCCGGTTACAAAAATTCACTTAAGAACAAATGGCTTTTCTCTAACTAAAGTAAAATGAATACAAGATATGGGCTTTTTTTCAGAGAATGGTGAAAATTGAAAAAACAATCATCTATCAAATTTCAATAAATGGTAAATCCGAAAAAAAAATGACAGGAAATTAAAAAATCAACTGGAGCTGGTATAATTTATTATCTAACCAACATATGTGTGCTGTGTATGAGATTCATGTCTTTATAATGATAAAAGGGTGGCGAAAACATAATATCTACTTGGAAGACAACAAAAATTTAAGTTACAAGCTTCCGCATCAATACTGGAAATACTTTCAAATAACATAAATGACGATTTATTTGACATATTCATTATCAGATCCAGAGAGATGTTAAGCTATAGCAAAGAATCACGAAAAGCAGCAAATGGGTATCATTAACAGATAATGGGAGTAGTCCAAACCTCAATTGCATCATATAATCCAGGGATTGTTGATATGTCTCCGCCGATGACTTTTAGAGTAAAATCCAACTTTTTCTGAAAGTTAAAATTTTCCGAAATGATTAAATATATCACATATGGGTGCATAAGGTTTAATGTCTATGTAGAAATATGGCTTGGCAAGTGTTTCAGACATGCATAAAGAAATGTGAGAAAGGAGGGCATTGCAGGTGGCTGTAATTAGACCACATTCAAGAGAGAGATGTCATGAGAAGAGGAGCTGTTTCCATAATTAGCAACTGTAACCACCAAGTCGCAAGGTGGCAACCTTGCCGTTGCACAAAGGCTCACCCACTATGCAAGAAAAAATGAATACAAATCTAAAATTAATTAGATTCTATCCATTGGACTAATGCAATTGTTTTAATTTGGCTAGATCTTGCAAAACATACAACCTATAAGTTTAGCTTAATTGTGAACCTTAAGGTGTTTGGCCCCATTGTGCTACAAAAGTAAATGAATAAATCCATTGAAATCATGTCCTAACATATCATACCTTCTGCCTTAATGAATAGCTAACAGCACCAAAACCAGGAAATTCATCGACTAGCGGCTTAAAGATCAACCTGAAAACACCCGTAAATCCAATATTTTTTACCTGAAAAAAGAGTATGAGAACACAAAAATCAACTATATTCTTTCAAGGAATAACCCTCACAAACTTGATCTACATTGTTGTGCACGATGACTGATGTCTAATAATCAAAGCTTTTAATCAAAAATCAAATTTTTTTATGCATGATAATAATCATGATAAGGCAGGAGGAGGAGAATCTTTCCTTTACCTAGTGATATGGTGTTCTATCCTCATATCAATAGGAAGCAATTAATGAAATATAAAAGAACGAACAAGTCTAATATAGCATTCAGTTTCAAACTAAATGGATTAAATCTCGAATTAAAGAATTTGGGTCTTACAATAGTTTGATCGTGTGAAAATAAAAGGCATGGTTTGGCATGGAGCCTTCAAACATAAGGAAAGGGGGAATATTAATACAATAACCAGGAACAACTAGAGCATTTGAAAGCATCTAGCAGCTACCAGTAACAACTAGTAATCAGACATGCGGTGGCAGTAAAAAGTTTAGAGAAGTACCTGCACTGGTAGTGCAACACCAAGCAAGGTTTTAATATCAAGTATAATACTTGGATTTCCATCCCATTGCATTTCTAACTCCATTGTAACACCATCCCCTCCATCCTCAATTATAGACACTCCTAAAGAATAACACTAACAAAATATAAGCTCCAAAGAAATCTATGACATTGATTAGCAAAATCTTCATCCTTTAAAAGTAAATTTAGTAGGATGATAACATGAAGGCATAAAATGCGGAACATAATATGAACTGAAGCAAATGTCCTTCCTTGCACACAAGAAACCACTTGTGTAAATATTTTGCATTGGCCTACTTAGTTAAGTTAGGACTTAAAAGCAAGGGATCAACTACTAACCACAGTTATGAACTTGTTTGGATTCAATTCAATTCAATTATACAAGACATGAGTTTAAGAGCATGCCTCCTGACTCCTGTGGCAACTGAAAAATAGGAACGGGTAAAAATGAAGCAGAATGGAAATTTTGTGATTTTCACTCTTCAGCGATTGACCTAGGGTGGAAACTAGAGAATCATTTTAACGCCATAGAAACAGAGGCCAAAACTGGTAGAGTTGGTGCAAAACTGAAATCTAGTTGTCCTCCGTTCTCAAATCATGATAGAGACGTTATAGAAGCATAAAACCATATATGTGCCTCCAGCTTAAACTATTGGCATAGTTGGTTCATGACAATTTATCCACATTTTTGTTTTACTAAACCAAATATATAATACTTAACATTCCCATTTTCCATCTTCTAGGTTTCCACTCCACTCGGCACTACAAGCCAGTCAAAGAAAAACGAAAAACAAAAGGGAAATTAAATTAAAGCAAACAAGTTTTGGACCGTTGGCAAATCACAGAATACTTCTAAATAGGTCCTATCTAAGTTTTTATTCAGCAAAAAAAAAAAAAAATTGCAACAATAATAACATTCACCAATTGCACCAAAAGCGGATTGACAAAAATCGAAAGCAATTGGATCGAATGAAACAAACGGACCTGTAAACTGTGGCGCTACAGTTCCAAGAGTAAACTTAGAAAACTTGAGAGCAGCCAAAATCACGGGTCTATACTCTTCGAGAATCGGTTCCACCGACGTCTTTATGAGCTCGGAAGCAGCCTAACAAAACCGATGCGAAAAAAAAAAATGAGCAACAAGAACAGCGAAATCCGCAACTAAATCACAGAACAAATCTACCTCATTAACATAGGGCCAGATCTTGGTGAGATGCGAGTTGAGCCAAGTTAACTGAAAACGAAAAGACGAGAACGTGAGACAACAAAACGAAGTTAAGAGGATCGGTAGAAGAAGAGAGAAGAAGGCTCAACTTCTGGCTGGAAGAGAAAACGACCCAGGATGGGTAGAACTGAGGCGGCAGGATCTTTCTGGAATCTTCGACGGTCATTCGGGCGAAGGCGGCGACGGTGGTGGCCAGCTTGGAGCGTTGGGCGGCCCGCGCATTCTCGCCGCGGACGAAGCCCACTATGATGCCCAGGCCCACAATTATTCCGACCACCACTCCGAAAACGAAGCCCATCGATGTGTGTGACTGTGTGAGAATGAGACGCGTGAGACTCGTGGGCTTAACGAGAATCCAAAGCGTTGAAGGTGTGAGTGATAATTAGAAAGTAGTAATAATGAATAATGATAGTTACTTGGATACGTTACTTACTGTAGTGATTATTTGGAGGTTGGGTTGTTAGAGACGGTGTGGGTGTGTGGCTATTTGAATTGTCGGAGTCATATATATGAGTGTTCGTGCATTCTTTGGTAAATCAATGGATTGACTTTACCTTTTTCTTTCCTTTTTTTTATTTCAGGGTAGATTCGCTCTACTGTTTCTGCCGCCCAACCAATCAAATGTTGCCTTATCGCAATTTTGCTTCTTCGGATAAGGTACAATTTAATTTAATTTAATTTAATTTAATTTAATTTAATAATTCACGGGTTTTGTGGAGAGAAAAATAAAAGGAAATGAAAAAATATACAAAAAAATTGTTTTATGTGATGTGGTTTGGTAAATAAAATAAAATAAAAATTAAACATTTTCTTGTTGTTTGTTTAAAAAATTTAAAAACGGAGGATATAATTATGTAAACTATATTCATATTTATTATTGTTTTATGGATCAAGTGAAGTCAACAGCATTGATACATGTTGATTGAGTGCGGATTCTTTTAAAATTGTTGTGGGTGATTGGTGATTATTTGTCATGAACAAAGAACAATAGTGGTGGATTGTAAATTTTTAAGTGAAATGTGTATATGGAGGATTTTCTACTGAGGTTATTTAGGGTCAAATATGTTATTATGTGGTTCAACATTGAAGAAGGCTAACCTAGCTCTTAGATATAAGTTTGGTTATTATAATTACAAATGCGATAAGGATGTAACAAACTCAAATCAATAATAAAACCTATCAAAAATTATTTGAACAATCGACAAAAGGTAACTTCAAAACAAAAAACAAAAACAAAAAAAAAACCAAGAAAAACAGAAGAAGAGACCTTGCCATTCTACGACCACCGATGGTTTTTGTCATCGCATTTAACAAATTTGTTGTTGCAAATTGTTGTCATCACATCCAGAAGTTTTCAATGGTCACGGAAAAAAAAATATGTCCAGTAAAAGATATGGTATTTTGTGAAGCATAAAAAGAGAGAGAGAGAGAGATAAAAATGTCACAAAAATGGTGGAAGGGGTTTGGGGTAGAAATAGGCAAATGAGGGTTTTGAGATATTTCATCACTAGTACAAACATGTGATAACTTGATGATTTGTCTCCCAATTGAATACTGAGATGCAATTATGTTAAATATTTATGAAAATGTTTTGTTATTGATAGTTGTCTTACCTAATTTAAATAAGATAGCCTCATGTAAAAGATATTTATAGTCTTATATATACTTAAAAAAAGGACAATTAAAGAATATCATTAAAGAGAATGAAAAATAATGAAAGAAGAGGTTCCATATAAAATGTTGTATAGATTGAAGGGGAAATGAAAAATAGTATGATGTGAAAAACTAAAAAGTCTAAGAAGATTAAAATATAAAAATATATAGAATATATATATATATAATGTAATTTTCTATATATAAAAAAATATATGCTTAAATGTCCTAAAAATGTGTAGAGAAAGAGAAATCGATTATGAATAAAATTCAATGCATCAACAATCATATGTGTTGCTTTTAGAAGTTACAACTTTATTATGCT